CAATTCAAGTTGCTATTGCCAGGACTGAGAGATCTAAGCATTTTCATATGCTAAATCTCAATCTGTAAAAAGTCCCAGCTGCTTAGAGGCACACCAGTCATCCAAATGAAATGCTCTTGTAATCTCTGTGCCTTCTTTTAGTGATAATATGAATTGTTTTCTATGGAACTCAGAAGCATTAAGCAAAATATTTATCTTGCATTATTTAAGAAAGGAAAGCCTTTGTGCCTACTCTTTCTCCAGGTGGTGTAACTGGAAAACAGCGCATGTTGTGTTTGGAGATAGGGAAGGAGTTTTTTGCTTAGGTCTGATCAAGTTTATTTTATTTTATCCATTTATTTATTTATTACAAATATTTTAAGCCACTTAAATTAGGCGATTCTGACATTAAAATACTTGCAAGAAATCGAATGGCTCTTCCTTGCCGCACATTATCGTTATATATTATTTAAACTCTTTTCCTTCTATGCTATGTTCTGGATTGTATAAGGTCTTATTCTCTCTGTGCAGATATGTGCGGGCTTCAGTCTAAAGGTGGGGATTCACATCTTTAAATCTCCATATAAAATTCCCATTAATTTAGGACTGACATATTGTAGCTAGAAAACCAGTTTAGTATATTGTTTACAGGTATTGAGCTAGAAACTGGGAGAAAGGGATGTCTAGTCCTGCTTTGGGCTGAGTGACTTTGGGCCAGTTTCTCCCCCCTCTCTCTCTCTCACTCACTCTCACTCTCACTCTCTGAGTCTCTTTTTTCCTAAGAAGAAGGCAGTGGCAAACTATTTCCAAAAATGTTGCCAAGGAAACTTCAGGAACTTGTCTAGACAGTTGCCAAGTGTCAATAATGACTCAAAGGCACTGTAAAATAAAAAGAGCTAAGCTGAAATCTTTCACTCTAGCTTTTTGTTTTCTATGTAATTCAGAGTTCCGCTGAATCCTGCAAGCTCTTGCTTGTAATATCAAGTAGCACAGACCAAAATTAGAATTATGGTTCCTATGATCTATGAGAGGATAGAGAACATTTTAAGTTATAGTGGATGAATGAAAGGGGTACCGGACTGCATATCCTTTTAGTCCTCTCCAAATCTATCCTTTCCTGGAGAAAAAAATCTGTGTGGTCACCAAGGATCAACCCTGACTTGAGGGCACATTATCAATGAACCAATCCATATTTTTATTTTTATGATGTATATCCTAAGCCTTCTATATATAATATTCTAGCCTTCTATATATAATATGGGACTAAAAGCAGAACTTTTCCTCATGGGACTGATGGATAAAAAGTTGGGCAAAAGAAGTCATGGAACTATATGGAAGAATAGTTTGTTGAATAAGATGGAAGTTGTTGAGATGACCAAACTGATTTTTGGATCAGAGAAAAGACAATATCTTCATTTATTGCTGACTGGAAACCCTTGTGGATTTTTTGCATAAAACAGAAAAAGATGAATTTACAAATCTTTGATAATTAGATATAATACATTATAGCAAGAAGAGATGTAATTTTAGAGAAAGTGTTAACTCTACAATTACACTTACAAGTGTTGTAAAAAAAAAAAGATCAGAAGCCACTTCTTTATATCTTTTTGTTTTCCATATTTTTTCTAGCTTTTTTTTTGCACTTTAGCTTTCTTTTATTTCTTCCTTTTCTTTTTCCATATGCTATGTGGGACAGCAGCTCATATAATTTTAGACCATTTGTTATGGGATTTGAATGCTGAAAGCTTCAGCACCCAAGAAGAAGAGGATTTATACAGATATATAGGATATAGTTTTTTGAGAAATTCTAAAATCTGTCACCAGATGTAGCTAGAGAAATCTGTATCTCCTGGATGCAAAGTCTTGAAAGCAGATCTTCCAGGGAACAACTGCTAAAGTATTCATCAATTCCTATATAATATGTTCAAGAATTCAAATGTGAGTACAATTCTTTATACATGGAAAAGTTTAGAAGTACTCCTAACATTTCCAACTGAACAAAAAATCCCTTTAAAAAAACTAAAGTCATAATTTCTGGACACATCATGCCCAGGTAGAAATTTGATGTTACAATGGTGCAAAGTCCATGTTTTGAAATATCAATATTCAATATGGAGAGTTACTAAATATTTTTGCAGTTTAAGAGATTATACAGTATATTACTCACATGACAGTATATAATTTATTAGTTTTTGTTCTTTTTTGTATTTAGTTGTACTTTGTAATATACAAGTCTTCCCTGGATTTAATCTGAATTTAATTTGAAGATAAAATATAAATTTTGACAGCTTAAAATAATTTTTGTGCTCTGCTTTGTGAGAAAGCCTTTATCTTACTTATCCAAAGTAACTCCTTTGTGTTCCAGGAGAAGAAAAGTTGACCATCAAAGGGAATATCTTACTATGATCTTAAAGTAAATCTGCCCTTTATCATAGGTGTCAGTGTCATCCTAAGACTTGAAAAGAGGCAGAACTTGTTTTATGAACAATTCAGGAGTGGAAAATCAAGAGTCTTTTATGTTTTAATTGCAAAAAAATAAAAAAGCCACTTTGCAGATTCTGAAAGCTTGAATGTAGAAATGCCTTTGCTTATAGAATGGGGAAATACATGCAAATTAATAACAATGTGCAATGCTAACAATAAAATGAACAAACATTTCCTTTCTCTAGGAGTTTAGAGAACCATATATACTATTTCTTTTATAACTCTGAGT